TTATACTCCTTAGAGGTTGGTTGGTTAGGTTCCAAGGTACTAAGAATAGCTAACACTTTGCTCAATTCCTCACATCTAGGTGGCAGCACTGAGTATATCTTGGGCATGGGAAGTGAATGGCTGACCACATTAGCACATAGCTTGGACATGCCTGACATATGGACCTTGACAATGCAGTGGTTATGCTTTACACGTGCTATCAGCATTTTTTCAGTGAAACTCAGGTTTTGTAGCTGTGGTGGGACTTCTCCAATCCACAAACCATTTGCCAGACTGTCCGCAGGGGTGCGACCTTCCTTTAGTTCTGATAAGCATGACTGACAAATATCATCACAGCCAGGAAGAAGAACAGGACCAGGGATATCACAGACAGGATCACTTGCAGATTTTCGCTCCTTCACAGTGACCATGTTGTCTGACATCAGCAGATTCTGATCACTTGGGTGGAGAGGGCCATGACTGGCAGATCCGATTGATGAGGTGGAGGAAGGTGTGGCTTTCTGAAGGCTTCCAAGCCATACTACTGCAATGATGATGGCTGTTCTACCTTGTAGAATCAATTAACAAATATATCAGCAACATCATTGAATAGAGATTGAAAAACTGAATCTGGTGGTATATAATACTCGTGGGTGAGGCAATGATGCCATCAGGTCTGTGCCATTGAGCACTTATTGCTAATTGTGGCATTGATAGAATTTTGTGTGCACATATGGATTCTCCTCATCCATAGCTTTCTGGTGATATACATTTGATGACATATGGACCAGTAGGCACCAGATTATTGGTAAATTTGTGAAGGCAGCCCAACTGCAATACATTATGTGTACTGTTAGCTCATTTTGTACCATAACATGGGATCAATGTCTATCTTCAGAAAGCTACTTTCAATATGGATCTAATGGTGGTATGACTATGGTGTTGATCTGCCAAACAGTTCATTTGATGCATTGGTCCCACTATCTTCTGTGCTATGGAATGAAAGTGTGTTGGGATGTGATGGTAAGACCAGGCATATGACAGAATGAGCATGAACACTATATAGTTGCATACAATCTGCATTATCAGGACCTAGAAATCTATTTATGGCTTTGTACTCCAATTGATGCCTCCAAATGGCATCCTGTTAACCCACCAATAGCACCATTGTGTAGAGCTCAATTTTCTGAACTTGACAGTATATAACACTTCATATGTTGCTTAGGAATTCATTGATCTAGACCCACTTCAATCCCCCATTAGTGACATATTGTGACCAATTGTCACTTATAGGGGTCTATTTGGCCCGTAGTTCCCTCAGATGTGCTCACAACAATATACAAACAACCCCATTATATTCTCCTGATCCATAGCTTTCAGGTGATCCCACATTTGTTGGATTTGGTGAACATTGTGTGAGGTTGCCAAACATAGATGCTTGGAGCCAAACAGGTCACAGTAGAGTCACGTGACCGTGCCGCACGGCATATGCCTGTGTCGGATTTTCGACCCAGGCGTATGCCGGGCGGCAGGATTCAATCTCCGCTTCAATTTGACTAGTATCATTGATAAATGGGCTACAAAAGCATAGATGGGTGGATTCCTCTGCTATTCCTTTGGTAAATATATATGTGTTATACACCATCAGAACGCTATTTAAGAGCTCTACCTGATGGTGACACTTACAAGTTTTTATCTTATCTCTGTAGTGTTTAAAACTCAAGACCTCCTGCAAACCAGAAGACTAAAACAGGTGTTAAGCCCACAATTCTGCCAATTGTGATGCTATTGATATTGGCTCTTTTCCAATGTGTGTATTCTAATGTGTAGGATAATATTCCCATGCAAAGTCATAAATGTAGTGAATGCTTGGCTTTCACAGCAGATAATCAACAAGTTGCAATAGAGTTATACAAAAATACACAGAATTGTGTTTTATGAGGTACCCTGATTACCAATAAATGGTGATTTATGTACCATTGGAATCTGCTGGCTGAGCTCTATACAATGGAGATGTTTTTCAAGGGTTTTATGCATTATATAGTGCAGAAATGGCCAGACAATGTTAATGAAAGAAGGCTCTGTAAAGCCTGATCTGGTCCGCCAAATAAGCGCCCAAAGCGTGATTTGGTGAAGTCCGATGGGCGCTAGTAGATCGCGCTGGGCCAGCGCGATCTACTAGCGCCCATGGTACTTATAAAGAATTTTTGAAAAGCAGGCGCTTTTTGGCAGTATTTCCCTAGCTGTTTCACCAGTTCTCATCCATATGGCACAAATTATATATCATCAGAAAGCCCTTTACAAGCTCTACAACAGGGTGCTACCATGGTTTTGAAGCAGATTTAATTGGTCTGTTAATCAAGGAAATACTTGGATTTCAGTCTTTTCATGATGATATTTCCTTTACTACTTCACCAGATCTCATCCATGTAGCACATACTATACTATATATAAAAGCTCTTCACAAGCTGCACACCATGGTGCTATCTTGGTTTCCATCTGTTCCAAATTGCACTCTAAATCCAAGACATACTTCATTTTTACCATTTTTGCAAGCCAGAATGCATACAATAGTTTTCAGATCAATCACTTATGACACACAAAAACAGATATGACCCTCTATTTTAGTACATAATACCTCAACTGATAGCTGACTAGCCTCTCTTAGTGGCATGTGGCATCCAAATACTACTACCAGATCATGGCTCTAAAAGGAAACTAGGGGTATAGTACTTGAACTACACTATATCGTGTGTTAAGGGTCTGTTTTGATACAGTGCATAGCCTATAGGCAAAGTGTGCAGTGAGCAGCAGATGTGCTGTGCAACCTAGGGTTACACAAGCACCCAGGGAGAGGCTTTAGATGTGGTAAGAATTGTGATTAGAACAGATCTAAGGCTAACCCTAAGCTGTGCTATTGGAATCCAACCCTAACCCTGTGAACATTACAAAATTTTGTATGTGGCGCCTATCAGAAAGCTAATGATGGGTAAGTAATTTTTTCCCACAGGGTCGACTTTCCGACATGCAAGTTGGCAGGAAGGTCACCCCATAAGAAACGATTTCTTCGTTCCTCATCAATCGTAGTATACTGTCAGATTCGGAAAATTGAGCTCCACACAATGGTGCTATTGGTGGGTTAACAGGATGCCATTTGAAGGCATCAATTGGAGTACAAAGCGATAAATAGATTTCCAGGTTCTGATAATGCAGATTGTATGCACATCATATAGTGTTCATGCTCAGTCTGTCATATTTCTAGTCTTACCATCACATACTAATACACTTTCATTACATAGCACAAAAGATAGTTGGTACCAATGCATTAAATGAACTGGTTGGCAGGTTAACACTTGCATATTGCATATAATGGCATGGTTATACCACCATCAGATCCACATTGAAAGTAGCTTTCTGAAGATAGACAACAGTCCCATGTTATGGTACAAAATGGGCCAACAGTACACATATTGTATTGCAGTTGGGCTCCCTTCACAATAATCTGGTACCTACTGGTCCATATGTCATAAAATGTATATCATCAGAAAGCTATGGATCACAAGATTCTATCAATGCCACAATTAGCAATAAGTGCCCAAGGGCACAGACCTGATGGCACACCAACACGGAATCACATTGTTGTGCCACTAGCTTTGGCTTTGTTTGTTTTCAGCCACAGCTCAAAATAATATGCTTGTTAATAGGTGATTGTATTGTGGAACATACTACAATTATAAATCACCAGAAAGCTGTTGATGAGTAGAATGCAATGGGGGTGTTTGTATGATATTATGAGCACATCTGTGGGTGCTAGGCACCAAACAACCCACCATAAGTGACTCTGGGTCACAATTTGTCACCAATGGGGATCAGTGTGGGCCTAGGTCAGTGTTTTCCCAGGCCTAATATGAAGTGTTATATACTGTCAGGTTCAGAAAATTGAGCTCTACACAATGGTGTCGTTTTTAGGTCAATGGAATGCCATTTGAAGGCATACATTGAAGTGAAAATATGTTCAGGTCCAGATAATGCCACTTCTTTAATGCATTTCCAACGCTATCTTCTGCCCTGTATAATGAAAATGCCTTGAAATGTAATAATGAAGCTGGATAGATGAAGTGGTGGGTATAAAGGACCAGGTAATGTGCATGCACTCTGGCAATGACCTCCAGCCACAATTAGTGTTTGATGCATCAAAGCTTGTGTATTCTATATAAAACCATGAATATACTACCATTAGATACACATCAAAACCACCTTTCTAATGATATATAATAGGCCTGTATTGTGGTGAAGAATGAGCCCACAGTGGGCAAAATGTGTTGCAGCAGTGGCTGAGAACAAACAAGACCACATTTAGTGGCAGGGGAGCTGTGCTCTGTGTTCCCCTGCCACAGAATGTGGTCTTGTTTGGTCCCCATCACAAATGTCTCAATATCTTGGCCCCCCCTGGTCCATATGCCACAATATATATATCGACAGATAGCTATGGATGAGCAGTCTATATATTCAGAAATAATCTGGATGTGGCCAGTGCAGCTACCACTATTCACAACACCAGATCCTATCAGTGCCACAATTGGAAAAAGCGCCCATGGCACATGACCTGATGACATCACTGCCTCACCCCCAAGTGTTATATACCACCAGGTTCAGAATTTCAATCTCTATCCAATGGTGCTGTCTATATGATTGTTTAATGATCCTAACAAAGGCTCAAACCATCATGAATGCAGTGTTACAGCTAAT